GGGGGGAGCTGCCGGAGGGGGGCTTAAATACATATTTCTTAGCTGTTGGCTATTAGCTCCGTGCTTGGCCGTGCGGTATCGTCCTTCAGTCTGGATATGGGGTGGGCAGCTCTCTGTTGGGCTGAGGGTTCCCCGGGTGGAACCCGGCCTTCCTGGGCTCTCCAGTTGCAGAGGGAGGCTGCAGGGCTGGTGGTTAAAATCATCTGAGGAAAAAAAAAGACTGTGTTTACACCCAGAGCGACTGATTCAAAGGAAGATGCTGAAATACTGTTTTTACTGCCGATTTGCAGACTGAAATTTTTTGTAATGCTTATTTTCATAGTGCTCTCGATTCGTTGAAGTCTGTTGCAGAGTTATCTATGCTTCTCCATTTTCTAGGCTCCTGGGGTGCGTTGAAATTCTGGTGGCATGCTGTGGCCAAGCTGCAGCTTGTGTGGTTCCCTAACTAGCATGGGACTTGGTGAAGTCTTAAAATAAGCTTGAAAGGGAGGGGATGTTGAGGAAATCCAGGAGTGGCGTGGTTGGGGCATGAGGATTATGTTCTTATAACATTATAGTAGCATTCAGAAGCTAAACAGCTGGTGGGAGGATTTCTAGAATGCAAAATGTTTTGTATATACATAATATTCACATTTCAAGGCAAGAAGAGAATTGTTTTTGGCCCTTGAATACCAAGCACTAAACATTTATTTTCTGTCTCCAGTCTCACCGCAAGTTCTCGGCTCCGAGGCACGGGTCTCTGGGCTTCCTGCCCCGCAAGCGCAGTAGCAGGCACAGGGGCAAGGTGAAGAGCTTTCCTAAAGATGACCCCAGCAAGCCGGTCCATCTCACTGCCTTCTTGGGGTACAAAGCTGGCATGACCCACATCGTCCGTGAAGTCGACAGGCCTGGATCCAGTACGTATTAGTAATGTTGCTCTTAATAAAGGAGGTGGTTTTCTTCTCTTTGCGTGGTGAAAGATGACCTGTGTGTTTGTAGCTCTGTATTTTAGTACTAGCTTGACTTGGCCCTGTTCAGAGTCCTGGAGTGGGTGGGGTATAAAGCAGCCACACCCCTCCCACTGCAATGTGAGTGATGTCTCAGCAGCAAGACTTCACTTGTAGCAGTGGCTGTCCTCTTAATAGTTCTGTTGCTGAGCTACACCTAGGCTAAGCCTGTTTGGCTTAGCTGTGCTGTAACAGGCTGCTTATGATGGCCTCTTCTCAATGGGCAGACACAAGTAAATTGCATTTGGGCTTTTTTTGCTGATGACTGTCCAGTCCTGAATGTGGCACTCTTACTGCCATCCATTTTGTCTTTTGGGCTGTGTTGTGTTTCCTACTGAGCCAGCCTCGAATTTTTGCAAGGCATTAAATTCTGACTTGGAGTTGGTCTCTCTACCATGCATCATCTCTGCTATTGTGAAAAGAACTTGAGTCGTCTAACCTTTAATGTGAAGGACTTGTGAGTGAGAAAGAACAGTTAATAGCTGATGCTGGTGTTAATTGTTGTGCTGTGTTTGTCTTCCCCCAGAGGTGAACAAGAAGGAGGTGGTCGAGGCAGTCACCATAGTGGAGACTCCTCCCATGGTCATTGTGGGCATCGTGGGGTATGTGCAGACTCCTCGTGGTCTCCGCAGCTTCAAGACCGTCTTTGCTGAGCACATCAGTGATGAGTGTAAGCGTCGCTTCTACAAGAACTGGTAAGGGAGCAGAGCTTTTGCTTGTTGCCTTAGTCTCATGGCATGGTTTATTTTTTCTGCTGGGTTGCAGGTTATGCTGGTACAGCTCTTTGAAGAGGCTTTTCAGTGTTTAGTACTTAGCCTTGATGAACTGGCCTAATAATGGGATAGGCTGTAGGAGTGACTCTGGGAGGGTGACAGTAATGTTAGTGCCCTCCTTGGTGTGGGGTGACAGAGGAGGCTTTTGCCTGAGATCTCCTTAACAGGCTACGCGTGATGATACTTCGACGGGCGGACATAAGGAAATCGCCTCTGGCGCTTGTTGTTGAGTGTCGAGTTCTGACTGTAGCCCTGTTTTCTCAGGAAAGGGGAAGACAAATGTTACCTCTGATTACTCTTCCAGGCACTGCTGTTGTTATTCAGAGTGTCTGCATTTGCCTGAGTGTGGCTCCAGTGTGTCTAGAGCTTACAGCCAGTTTATGAACTTAACAGGCTGAGAAGATGTCAGGGTAGAGCAATAATGATCTCAGGGGTGTTACAGTAATGACCTGACTGTTGGGCATAGCTTGGGCTTGCGGGGCAGAGGAGTGGGAAGTTACAGTATTCTGAAGCAGATGGCAGTCATCTGACAATTGCTTTAAAGACCTGTTTTTTTCTGTTATTGTTCGACATCTCTCTACAGTCTTTTGTCTTCTGTACTGTGAATGATAATGTGCTTTGGAATTAATGGCAGCTCCGCTCAGCTCTGGCAACTTTGCCTCTGTCTGATGAGCTCCAGGCTCCGCTTGCCAGAGGTGGCAGCTCCTTCCGCTCACCCTCACTTCCCGGGGGGCTGATGAAGGGCTTAGCCAAACCTTATCTCTGCTCTGCTCCTGAAGGCACAAGTCCAAGAAGAAGGCCTTCACCAAATACTGCAAGAAATGGCAGGATGAGGAGGGCAAAAAGCAGCTGGAGAAAGATTTCAATAGCATGAAGAAGTACTGCCAGGTTATTAGAGTCATGGCTCACACTCAGGTAAGTGTCTGTTGGACTCAGGTGAACACTGGAAACAGCTAAGAGAGCAAGCGTAAGGCTTGGTCCGTCTCTGTAGGGAGATTCTGCCCTCCCCGGCAGCCTAATGTTAACTGCTAAGCACAATACAAACGCTAGCACTCTTCATTGTGTACAGAGCAGGTGCTCACTGAATGCTTGAGGACAACCACTGGAAATCTTCTGAAGCATTGTCCAAAAGAGACTGAACTGTAGTACGAACTGCTTGGACTCGGTCCTTTGCTGATACTTTGTAGGCCTGGGCTGTGTTAATTCCAGCTACAAATTAAAACAGGCTGAATGCTTGACTAGGGTTTCTGTGGTCAGTGTCACTTCAGGCTGTGTTCTGTAGGGACTGCAGACACTCAGAGGCTTTTGGTTGCCTCTGTTGCTCAGCTGGAGGAGCTGTATGGCTTAGTGGTGTGGTGGCATCTCTCTTAGCCTTCAGTGCTCTGCCAGAGTTGCTTGGGAGATATAATTAAATCCAGGTTGGCTTTAAGTGCAATAAGATGCCTAGTTATGACATTGCTAATTTTACTAGAGTTTGTTTCCCATACTAGACAGCAAAGGCAGCATTGCAGCTGCTGTTCATACTTGTGCAAGTCCCTCTGCACTAAATGTAGTAGGAGTGACTGTAAATGACCCTACCCGAAGTGTCCTTCACTGTAGCAGGCTTTATCATAGCTTGGTTTGGGTTGGAAGGGACCTTGAAAGGTCATCTTCTAGTCCAGCCTGCTGCCGTGGGCAGGAACGTCTTTCAGCAGATCGAGTTGCTCAGAGCCCTGTCCGACCTGACCTTGAACACTTCCAGTGATGGAGCATCCACAGCTGCTCTGGGCAACCTGTGCAAGTGTCTTGCCACCCTCATAATAAAAAAATTCTTATGTCTGA